AAAAAGGCAAAAAAACCCCATCCCTTAGGAGAAATCCCCCTCGAACGAAAAGCCCCCTGAGTCCCCCCCCCCCCGCCCCGCCGCCCCGTCCAGGGCGGGCCACGGCCTTTACGGCCCTGCCCCTCGCACCTCCACCTGCCAGCAGCGGAGGTGTCACGCATAACCACTGCCGCCTCTCCTGCGGACGGACCTCCCCTCGGCGGCCGCTCCCCGCCTCTCCCCCGACACGACCTCCCCCCGGCAACCGGCCCCGCCGCCGCCGCCGCCCGCAGCCCCACGCCCGTTGCTCGGCAGCTGCGAGTCAACCCAACCTGCTGAAGCTGGGGGCGGTGCCAATGGGAGGGCGGAGGGGAGGGGAAAGGCGCATAGCTATCTCCTATTGGTTGAGAAGGAACGTGGGCGTGGCCTGACTCCCGGCTCCCTCTTCTGCTACCGGTGAGACGAGGTGTCAGTGCGCGCTGAGGGGGCGGGGCTTAGCCGGCTAGCGGTGGCGGTTGCGCGCCGCGTTAGGGAGGGACTGCGGCGGGCGGGGGAGCGGAGTGAGGGGGCGGCGGCGGGCGGGTGAGTGAGAGAGCGGGCGCGCGCCGCCGGGTGTAACGCGGAGCAGCGGCAGCGCCGGAGCGGAGGTAGGAGGGGGAGCCGCGCGAGCGCCCGGGTGGTCGCCTCTCGCCCTCGGCCGCTCTCACCTGTCACCTCCCGGCTGCCGGGCTCTGGCGGCGGCGGCGGGGCAACCCCGCGCCTCACCCCCTTCCCTCGGCTTCGTCCCTCCCCCCCCCCCCCGCCGCCGGCCAGCCGCGCGACCTCCGCCGCTCGCGCACCCCGCCGCCGTTGGGGCGGCCGCCGCCCACCTTCCCCCCCCCGCCTTCTCCTCCCCGGCCCTCATCCCGCCGGGAGCCGTTTCCTGGCGGGGTCGGTGGGTGTCTCCGCCAGCGGGCAGCGCCCCGCTCCTCAGCACAGGTACCGCCGGCCCCCGGGGGATGGGGGTCCGCTCGGGAGGGCGCAGAACCCGGTGGGAGCGGTCTCTCCGCGGCACCCCCTCCGATCGGGTGCCCCCGGAGGGAGGGAGGGGGGACGGCGGCGGCCGCCTGTGGGATTCCGCCTGGGTCTAGCTCTCCGGCTGCAGGGGCTTCCTCTAAACAGATACTCCTTAGGTGATTATGATCTAAGGGAGGGAGCGTTTCTCTGGCTTTGGGGGTTTTTTGGGGGTTGTTTTTATTTTTAATGAGCCGCACTGTTGCATGGGGTTGTGGGTTTTCCGTGCCGCTGGTGAGAGAGGATACGCTGGTGGTTGGCAGGTAGGTGGGTCGGTCGGTGGTGATGGAGAGCCGTCGGGGGGGGGGGACAACACCCGGGAGAGGAGGCAGTTCCTCAGTTGGAGCCGCTGGGAAGCAGAGGGATGCCGGGATCCCCCTTGCTGGGCTATTCCTTGGTTCCGCTCTCGGGTCTCATCTTTTGTATCGGTCGGTGAACAGGGAAAACTCGATTTCTATCCTTAGACTTGAGCGTATGGAAGGAAAAATGATTTTTTAAATTTTTTTTTTTTTTAAGCGAGGTTTTATGTGTTTGAAGCAATGCCCCTTTCCAGGGCTGGGGAAGCCAGCTCGGTGCCCATTCTGCTTTCTTCGGTGTATGTGAGGGCTCTGCTTGCTGTTGCTGAACTACTCCAGCCTCCCTCCCTCTTGGAGATCCTCCTCCTGTCTGCATGGCGTCCTGCCTACCATGGCTGCGGCAGGTAGCTGTCTGAGACAGCAACAGCCTGGCACTGCCATAGTGACATTAGTAATGATCATGCAAATCCCTCTGTGCTGGGAAGCTACTGCCTGACACTTCTGCTCAGTAGGCTTGTCAGGATGGTAATAGATTAGTCTACGGTCATATCTGGAGGACTTCTTCCTTACTGCAAATACATAGTTATTTAGCGACGCTTTGGAACGTCTCAAATAGGCTGGGAGGAAATATTAAAACAGGAAGGCTAGGAAAACCCGTTGGCACAGTGGTAGATGCAGATCGTGAACGGCCTTCAGGTTCTGCAGTGTTGCTGGAAAGAAGTTTTAAATCATCCTATTAGTTTCTTTTGTTGTCCTCATGCCTCTTCTGTTTTTCAGAGAGATGTTGAGCACTGCAGGCTTCCAGTATAATGAGTGATCAAGTTGCATATTGCCAGTTGATAGTGGTTTCTTGGCTAGTACAATCTATAATTCCCATTTCATTTTACTATCTACGAGGGCACTTAACTATTTTTTTTCCAGATCTCAGTGTAGGAGTGGCAAGTTTAATATTTCACAGTCTGTTGGGTTTGCCTGAAACAACATGATCTTTAGGATTTTTCTGGTCTCTGTGTGTGTGTGTGGTGACTTAAACAGCAGAGAGGTCTGCAGCTGAAAAAAAAAAGCAAGCTTTTTATAAAATATACCTTCCTGGAATAGCAACATGAAGCGCCATTTTAATAGGTGGTTTGAGTAATAGAAATATGGGCTTTTTCTGTTGTACAGACTTAAATACTACCTGTAGTTGTGTGGGTGTTTAAGATTTCTGTCATTTTGCTCATTTGGCAATAGGAAATAAAGTCTCCCCTTTGTACTTCTGGCAAAATGTTCTGCAAGGAGAGCTCTCTGCCTAAAGCCTCTGCAATGAGTAACTCTCAGGAGTATGGCCTTGTTTGTCAGTTTTCACCTAAAACTGTAATATTTGGGGATTTAAATCAAAACTGTGTAAAAATGTTTGTCACCACGCTTAGATTTTTCTGGCACGTAGAAAAACTGGATGATGTATTACAATGGGTGAAAGACCATAGTTTATAGGAAGGGGGAGAAATCTAAAGCTGTAGCAATGAAATGCTACAAGTGCTATACCATATTTTGGAACTAATTTTGGAATTAATTTCAGCCATTGCATAGACGTGCAATTGAAAGCAGTTATTATTCAAAAATACACATGTAAAAATGCTTTGAGTATGCCTGATTTTTAACTTTAATTGAGCGTTGACAATCATAATGAATCTTATATATAATCTATTGTTGGTTTATTTTAAAGTTTGTTTTTTGATAATGTTTTAGACTTGAACTTTATGAAAGCTGAAATTAGAAATATGTTCTGATTCCTTTTGTCTGACAACTCTCATTTTACAGAATTGTAGCAAACCTGTTAGTGCTGTAGCTGATCTGCTCTGGTTTAGTTTTCAAAACTTGAAGTGTTGAAAAAAAAAAAAGAAATTGTGGATCCATTTTAATGTTCCCATAGATCCTTTCACTTCAGTTTAATAATGATGAGGAGAAAATACACTTTGAGATTCAAGTACTGAAATGTTTACTGTAGCTCTATATTCCTAACAAAACCCTTGAGAATATCAAGTTCATAAGCTTTTTAACTAGTGAAATAGCTACAGGAAAATGTAAACATTTGTATGGTCAGTATAGAGAGAACTTCTTTTTGTAAAGAGGTTTGTGCTAGTCTGTTGGAAACTATTATTGGAGCACTGGTATGGTTAACTATAGTGCCAGCATGGTTTGACACTGGCAGTGGCTATTTCTGTTGTTGTATGGAGCAGGACTATGTGAGTGGGAGGAGAGCTAAGACTGCAAGTACAAGGTAGAATAAGAGAATAATTTCTGTATGCAGAAAACACCCTCTCTCTATATATAACGAAAAGCCAGTTCAGTGCTGTTATAAAAATAGCTATTTATAATACTGACTATATATGGATGCTCTTGAAAACTGTTCACATATAAGCATTAGCTTTCTCTCTCTTGAACACACAACACTCAGCAGTAGAAAGATGGAGAGAAAAAACCAACCAGCAGTTTTCCTAGGTGTTGTTTAAGCTCTGAATAAGATACGAATTCTTGTTTATGAGAATTTTGTTGAGCTTATATGCTTACTCTGAGCAGTGCATGAACATGGGTCATGAAACAATGTTAAGAGAGAGCTACCCTGAAAATTTGTTGACATGGAGGATAAATGAAGTCATACAGAGCTCTGTGTACGCTCATCATGTGAAAGGAACAAGAATGGCTTACGTTTGTCATAACTTCTATTTGAGAATTTTGAGGAATTTTAGCTCTACTCATGAGTTAAACCCAGCAACTCTTGATTTTTATCTAGATTTTTTTTGTTGTTTTTTCACATCGCAACATCAAGACATGAGACTGATCAGTGACTTGCTGTCACTAAAGAATGTATGTGATATAATGAGTAACAGAGTTTATTTTCTGGCATAAAATTCTGTATTCTATGCTTCGCTATCTAGATAAAGATTTGTTGGTGAATGGTAATATCAGCTTTCTGCATCAGAAGCAGTAAGAATTAATTTAATTATATAAATTAAAGTGAGCATTAAAACAGTATGTAAGTAACTGAGGAAGTCACTGTTACAACATTAGTCTTCTTGCCGAGCCTGTGCGGTTTCATAAAATTAAATATGGATGAAAGGAAAATGTTAAACTTCTGAATATTCACAACGCTAATATATTCAGCTTTTAAAAATAAGCTTTTTTGTTTAGAATGTGATAATACATTTATTTGTCACGGTGTTAAATAAGATATTTTAAGTTGGCAGAAATAATTGTGTTAAATATCTTGTTGAAATCACAATGAAGGAACCCCTTTGAAAGGGTTTGCATATCTTTAACTCTGTTGCTATAGAAATACTGCGTATAGTCTTTTTTTTTTCCTCCCTTCTCTGAGGCAACCATGAGAATTTCATAGGAATAGGCTAGCCTTCAGAGAACTTCCATGGCCATTTCCTTTAGGCAAAATAACACATGGGTTCTCAAGTTAGAGTTGTTCTACTTCTCTTTTTATATGAAGACTGATACCTCAGTTATGTTTAGTTGCTGTGGAGTCAAAATAATCTATTGCTGTGTCTTAAAATGAGAAAAATGTGAATGGAATAAATAGATAGCTATAGTTAATATATGATGTCTTTCTGTAATACTTACTTGTGATTCTGGTGACCTAAACACTGTAGTAACTTTAAATTCTAGTTTTAGTGCAATTACATTTATTTGTCTAGCATTACTTCGGAAGAGGTTTTAGTGTGTTCCTGTTTGGCTTCAAGTTTGTATTCCTAATCTGAGATGATTGAATGTTCTAGTGTTGGAATTGTCCATTAATATCTTGACAATTAATCCTTTAGTTGATGTTTTGTTAATAATAGGATAAGTTAATTTAACACTGACACTTATTTTGGAAAAAGAAGATAATCTTGCTGTGGAT